ATTGACTCTTTTATGGCAGTACGTTTCAAACTTTCTTACCCAGCACATGTTAGTGAAGCTTGATTGCTATAAATGACTAACACATATTGCAAAAGTTTCAAAACTGGCAATCGTAAAGATGCTAAATTATTGCAAATTCTTTTAGACTTACAATGGACTGCAGGCTCAGCCCGCGCTTAGCATCATCATATGCTGCTGCTCGCAATTCTTCATAGCTAATATCACCAACAATATCACAAGGAGCACTAGAAAAAGAAGAAACCAAACAGCATTAGATAATCAGATTATCCTACATTAGAATTATAGAAAAGAACAAGAAAGAATTTACTTGGTTCTATGGAGGTGATGAGTAGAACCTACTTTTTCAAATGGCTGTAGCATGTAAGCTTCCAAAGAGGTCTCTCATGCTCAAAATCTTCAGCAAAAATGCGTTTGCAGGACTCAGGATCTGTGCACCTGCACATATATAAATTTCACTTCTTGCCCAGGCAAAATAAAAGAAGATAAAAGGACCTTGCCAAAGCTAGACAGCAGCCAAGATAGAGATCAACTAGTTCATAGGATACATACTTATGATTTGTTGTCTGAGGCTGATTGTCAGACTGCCTTGATGAAGGGGCACTGGTATTGTTTAAGGGGGAGAATCGGCTCCATGTGTTAGGCTTAGTAACAAGAAATTTGCAATCAATAACGCAAGCAAGAAAAAAAAAAAAAAAAAAGCTTTTCAACTATTGTATAACCATCCAGAATTCAAACTTAAACAAAGAGGTTGCCCAAGTAACATATTCTTTTGTCCAACTGATATCCAAAACTTTAGAGAAGGAATGAACCTTATTTCCAAAATCACTGGCCCCTTTCGACTGATAGTTGTTCTGAACACCAAATCCATAGGGGTTCGGCTTTTGCTGCTGCGAGCCAGCTTGAGAGCCAAATCCAAATGCATTCGACTTCTGCTGTTGTTGAGTGACGTGAAGGAATTTACATTTATCACCATACTTACAGCTGAACAAGAAAAAGGCTAGGATTACAGATGAGAACTTAACAACAAATTCAATGCCACAAAAAAGAAGAAGAAGAACAAGAACAAGAAGATAACTAAATATAAATTAAGCACCACAAGAAGAAAATCGTAAAACTAAAAACTTTTCTTTGTCACAGAATAACTGATGCAGATATTGGATTTGATGGTGATAGTGGGCAATTGGGGCATAGGTACTTGCTCAAATACTAAAAAAAAGAAGGATGCATAACAAGTGTTCGATGAAAGTCCTAAGAGAGAAAAAAAAAAAATTGAAAGAAGCAGCCAATCGCACCGCAACTACTGGGCATCAGAACAACACACACATGATGAATAGAATAATTAAAAAGCTTCACTCATTCGAGAGGAAGCAACGGACAACAAATTAATCAGAAGAAGAGGTACCTGCCGCGCTGAAAGTTTCTGCAAAGTTCTCTCTTGTACTGCATTGTAGCTTTGAGGGTTTTTCTTGTTTTAACAGAATTTCGTTAAAACGCTGGAATCTCTTATTATAAAATTCATTATGTGCAGTATTTTATGTCGGAAAAACAAAAAATTTGTAATTTATGTCCCTAAACTTGCAATATTTGAGCTATTGAGACCTAATTCGTTTTAAATTTAATCCTTCAACTTTCAAAAATATGCACCGAGCCCCTTGCAGTTTGCCTCTTTTTCTTTTTCTTCATTTTTTTTTTTTTTGGGTATATCCAAGAGGTTAAATGTTTTAACATAAATTCAATATTCCATACACATGGACTGCACTTAACCCCATATCTAATTCTAATAATGTTTTAACATTGATGTCCTACTGCATATGTTTTTATGATTTTAAAAACAACAACTTATACACAACAAGTTATAC